CTAGGAAAAATTGCACATCTTTCGGTTTGACCGGTTCCGGAAATGGCTCACATAAACTAAAAAATATTGAGTTCAAGTCCACTGAAACACACCTCTTTTTCACATTGAGAAGCGTCAAAATTTTATCTGCATAAAAAATAGTTGGTCAAAAGAGTGACGAATTATGCGAAAATAGTGCTTAATAAACAACAAGGGCATCTCGGGGGAGCCGGAGTCTTGCCAAGTGCTTCTGTTGGTAAATTGCTGAACTATTAGTCCTTTCAGGAAACGAAACGGATATCAGAGTAGTCAGCGAGCTGGCCATCAAGTGATTATACCTTATATTTGATACTTAAAACGGCTGTTAGTCAACTAAGTATTAGAAGTAGTAGGTCTTTCCAACGAGTCTGTAGCTTTCTAATTGTTCTTTTAGCTTTAACGGCTATTTATCGACTTTTCGTTTAGTCTGTCTGTTGTCTGTCATTCTTGTCACATGAGTGGATCAGCTTTTTCCCTAGCAAATACTTCCTGTTCTCCTTCAAAGCTGGACATGATCAAAACAATGCTTAATTTTCTGTAATCTGCTACTACTTAGCATTCTCCTCTCCACTGACCGCTCTGTCACTGCTAGTTTGTTTTTTTCAGCGAGAGTGATATTTCTGTTTCACATTCGCAAAGTAATTTGAGGAGGTCGATGGTATTGAAAAATTCTGCCTTTATGACCACCGATCAATGTCACTGGAAAAGTTACCAGCTGCACTGTTAAAGAACCATATCACAAATTTATAATTCTTCCTGTTACTTTAGTTGTATTCAAGAGACTTACTTGTATACTTTCACCAGCAATTCTCGACCAACATTTGTATAAGTCAACCGTATAGTATCGGTCATGCCTATCCTGATAGCTTTTTCACAGTCTGCATCCACCGTACGCAATACATATTCCATATTTCGAGTATAATCTGCAGCTCTTAATAATTTGAGTTCAAACGAACAAATTTTATTCTCGAAATCTAGTTTACATTTCAAGCTTTAAAGAAGCTAAAGTCACTTGTTTGTTGACAAAAGCAATAGCTATTTTGGATTGCAGTTACACGGATGGCAGTGGACAGCTTCTTCTTCGGACAATTGCTTGAAGTTAGCTTGATTCTCTAGCTTACCAGCATGTAACGAAAACGAAGTTCTTCCACTGACGATCTTGAAAATTTGAGGGTGTGATTGAGCAGGCAAGCATCTGCCATCTGATCAGCGGATGCGAGGCAGAACTGACTATTAAAACAGTGTTGCATTAGTATTGCACCAGGGTTGTACAGGAGTCGTCGCTGGAGGAAGTCGCAGCACGGCCGTATCAATAGGCGTCATGTTTGTTGTTTTCAATATGCTGACTAGTTTATGAGGCTATTGTGGGAATGCCCTGTATTATTGGTATCAGTGATAATGATAATAATGATAATAATAGTAATAAAGATAAAAGTTTTTGATTAAATAAGTATTTTTTGGTTTACCAAGTCTAACGTATGCAGTGTGCATCAGCGACGGTGTATTATGCTCAGTACTACCATCGTCCCCGTTCTTAGAAAGCTGCAGAGTATTTCAGATGCCTTTAAGAAGGCTTGCAAATCATAATGAAACACAATGTCAAATCCAAAATTTCTCTGAATAAGGGATCGATTCGATGTATTTCCAAGTTACTGAAAAACTCTCTCACCAAATCATGCATAAAATCATTTCTTTTACTGAACATATAAAAATAAGAATTGACAGAGGCGTGAAGCAAGGCGACATTTGTTTGCCGTCGTTCGCCAAAAGCTTTTATTAAAATACTTAAAATAGTATCCGTAAGAAATTGAAACAACGGAGGGAATTAGTATCGACAGCGAAATGCTTCAAATGCATTATTTTGAAGGTTTTCTTTGCCTCCAGAACAACACGCTAAATAACAGATTCTCTACCGTAATAGTCGAGTCTCGGCTGAACCACACCGGATGATGATATCGCCGCAATCGTGATATCCTCATTCTTTTCGCGAAACCAAGCAGCCAGTGCACCTTGAAAACTTACAGTTATTTTTGCGCGTTGCGTGATTTGCATTCGTCTTTACTCCACAAGCAAATTAATTGCAAGAGAATAAAGGAAATTTTTTTTGTTGGAGATCGTATATTATTAGAAAGTGGCGCCCACAGAAAAGTAAACGATCACTTGGACGCTTCGAACATGCATTTGTTACTCAGTGGAAGTATGCAACATCGGGCTTATCGCTACACGCGACAGTACGAGCATCAGAGCAGCATTTCTGATTAAAATGGGATTTCAGCGTCAACTGTCCCAACTGTTTTGGTGTTTTTGTTAAAGAAACAAAAGTGCAGAAACTGGGTAAGAAATAAAATAAGTGGAGTCGATGGTCGGTAAAATTTGGACATAAGGCAGATTTATGTTGTGCAACTCAAAAAAGAGTAATAAAAGATAGGAGCTAAACTGCTGAAGAGCGAAACAGTTGAAAACAAAAAATTGAAATTACTAGCAAGAGCTTAACTTGTAAAAAATAGCAAGATAGCTCGGATTTGTTTAAATACTAATGGAATACTGATCTTAGAGATGTTGCTGG